TGACAAAGCAACACAACATTTGAAAGAGCACATTTTTAAACTTTGGAGATCTAGCTTGATTGGATTAGTACTGAATTAAGGATAAGGAAATGCAAAATGCAGAAGCTCCATTGAAGGATGTATTTAAAATCCAAACTATTTTGTAAATGTCTAAATATCTTATTGCATATTTCTTCTCTTTTTCTACTTCGGGCTGTGTTTTCTCGACAACATTAAACTGAGATCCCTCATTTCTGTTTCTCTCTCTCTCGCTCTGTCTCTGCCTGTCTTTTGCTGTCTCTGTTCCCTTTTCTCCTGCTGGTGATGGGGGGGGGGGGGGGGGGGTTGCTTGATTAGAACACACGTCGCCAAGTTCCCCCCACATCGCATCATTGCATTTGATTAGCTCCAATCCCCGGCTCCCTCCCTTATCACTGGCAGCACAACAGGTAGCAGCACACACACATGTACACACACACACACACACACATGCACGCACACACACACACACACACACATATATATACACATCCATACACGTCACAATCTAACTCCAGACTTATCAGAACTCCACGGCTGCCTGTAAACGTGCACTGGCTTATATGAACACACACACAGATACACACTGCTGGAGCGGTGGCAAGGTAAAGCCAGCATGATGCTGACAGCTCCCTGTCCCTAATGAAGCATTAATAAACTGCAGCACAAAACAGTGGATCAGAGAGCAGCAGTGGTCCCCACCTGCCTGGCTGTCTGCACGCTGCCAGAGGGAGAGATCAGAGGGGAGAGGATCACTGTAATCCCCCATCCTTCAAAACCCCTCTGCTCCACTTTTCAGAGAAACCTCACCCCCATCTCCTTGGTGCTATGCTAAAGCTTCTGTACTTTTCAGTTTTCAAATATTCTCTAGCTGTAAGTCAATGCAGTTTTGTTGAAAGGTTATTGCTTCAAAAATAGTTAAATGGTAAATGATTTTTATTTATGGTATTTATTTGTATTTATTTATCTAATTTAGTTTTGATGACCACTTAAAGCACTTTACGTAACAGTTGTATTTTTCACCCATTCACAGACACATTCTTCCTCTCTCTCTGTCATACATCAATCACACAGTCATCAGGGGGTTGGGTTCAGTATTTTCCCGCTTGGGATCGAACCGTTGGCCTACAGGTTAGATGGACGACCCGCTCTACTTCCATCAAACCAGCTCTGCCCTCTTGTTTGTGGATGTGGATGACTGACTGTAAATGTGTGTCTGATTTAGAGCAAAGTGGATGTTCTGACTTTCACTGCTGCAGAGGTTCTGGCACATTTTCCAGTGTATCTCTTCACTGCAAAGATGCTCACTGCAGCTAGTTAGGATGTCTGTGTGGAGTGTGCCTGTCCTGTATTTGTTAGACAGCTCATCTGTCTACAAAATCCCCAACATCGCTTCCTTTCATCATCTCTCTTTGCGGCACCTCTCCTCTGCTTCTTTTCTGCACATTCAAGAAGAATGAAGTTTTGTGTGTTCGACTCCACTTTGCATTTGTAACACACTGCCTAGTTTTCCCCTCAATCTGAACACACATTAAAATTTAACACTTCTAACCAGTTACTTGCTAGAAGCCGTCTTACCTCTGCCGCTACAGCAGAGTACATGACAACCAGACTGATTTCTGTCTCAGTCTGTGCCCTTATTGCAGCTTCAGGGATGTTCATGTGTTACGCCTGATGTGTGAAGGTGTGTATTCAGAAATTGCCGCAGCACATGAATTCACAATTTGGCACACGGGTAGTGCAGTCACAGTACGTTCCTGACGGGCAGACAATGCCTCTTTCACTCTGATCCAAATGAAGGTGCTGAGCGGAGATATTCCAGAAGGTGTGTCCATTCAAACGCTGCATGACTGTGATTAGAAGAATTAGAGCGATTGTTTAGAAAGAACAAGCAATTAAATCAGCTGTAATGGAGAGAGAAGAGTTCAAAAGGCTTTCAAGAATAGAAAAGAATAATAGAATTCTAGAAAAAGCAGTATCTACTCACTAATTCCACTAACATCTGTCTGTCTGTCTATCTCTCTGTCCATTTCTATGTGGAATGCATATCTCAAGAAACGTTGCCTGCACACTTGCCAAGTGTATTGGTAATTGCACAGGGAAGTATAGTGTTGAACTTGGTATGATTTGAACTCGCAGTATGTTAAATATTAATGAACTTCGAATAAAGTTGCAGTCAGTTGGGGTGGAGTGTAGCATTCATTCTGCGGACTGAGTTGATCTCCCTCATGGCAACATTTATATAATCACTTCCGTTCCAAGGTGAAAGCACAACGTTCATGTTGTTGCTGCAATGCTTTATATGGAGCTGAATTACCGAGCTCTTATTTTTGAAACGTTGTGAACTTGGGTCTGATGTCAGTTGGTTAACAGAACTCTGATGTAACAGAATGTGAAAACTAATAAAGCAAATTTTTATCTTATGAAAAACCCAGACTTTAAAATCCATGCAAAATAAAGTGGCAGTGTGAGAAAGAAAGCTGCAACCAGCAGTAAACAGCCATGTTTAGAACAGGCACTGCTCTAGTCTTTGAAATCATACATGTAAATACATAAGGGAACATTCTTTTAATTGGGTCTCAGACAGCCGACTTTCCTTTTGAGTGTCCTCTCTTTCCTCTGTCACAAACTAGAGATGTCATCTCTCTATCTGTGCCGGTATGCTTTTACTTCAGTGTCACTTTGCGTTTCTATCTTTCCGTCTATCTGTATCCTTATGTGTGTTTTTTACTCATTATCCTCCGTCATCAAAACCTCACTGAGCTGTACTCCAGCGAGGGAGACTGATCTAGTTGCCATCGAGGATCATTCTAATTAAATGGAGCTGGCGCTGCTGACTTCTTCAGCCTCTCGCTTTCTCCTCTTTCTTTTGCCACCTTTAACGTAATAATAATGAGAAAATATAACCAAGAACTCCCTGAAGTTTAATGTGGTGAGTGTATTTTTTTATGTGCACTTGTTACGCCGATCACACTCACCCAGGCAATTTGCCTGCTTGTCTGAGTCTGAGAAGAGATTTTTATTTGCACTAACGCCCCTTCGAAGGTACGCGTCGTATCCAAATCGGCCCCTGTTAGCATTCACATCAAGAGCCCCCACTTCCCTTTCCTATTCTACCTAGCCCTCGTGCCCCAGCCCCTTTTTGCCTGTCAACACGCCAGCTTCTCTCAGAAGAAAGGAAGGTTGGGTAGAGAGAGAGAGAGAGAGAGAAAGAAAGCCGGGGTATTATTTAATGAGATCAAGAAGTGTGAGGGGGATGCTGTTTACTGTCACAAAGCAAACAGGGGGCCCCGTCTCCATGCGGGTAAGATCACTGGGCTTCTCCCTTGTCTCCCTCCTCTTCCTGAGTAGCTGTGACTGCTGCCTCTACATTACAACCACAATTCTACAGAAACAGGACATCCACCGCCTCCCTCTCCCAACAGCAGGTGCATGTAAACAGTACGTCTTTGAAGGTTATTTTTACGCTCCATAACAAGTACCCAAACTATTTTAGACATGTTGATTGTGTAGCGAGCACGACTTTGTACTTGTTGTTGCACTGACCTTTTACCTGCTGCGAGAGATACAACAAGGTCGTTAGTGCAGCGCTGTTTCCCACAGGCCATCAGTGTCTCATTGTTCATATGATTAGACACAAATAAGAGGCCAAGTGTCACAGTCACTTTCTGGTCTAAATTGGCTGCCATTCAGCCACTCAGTCACTGGCTCGCACTTTCCTTCAGTCTCCTTTAGCTCCAGCTGTAATTTAGCACTTTATTTTGAAGTTACTTTTGTGGTGTCTCTGCCATAAATTAGGCGTGGAGTCAGTTTCAAAGTTCCCTGCTGCAATACGGTACAAATATAAAATGGGAAGGAGAGAAAAAAGTGTTAGTTAACGAGCCTAACGCACCGAACCTCAAAAGGACTTGACAGGAGAGAGTGGAAAAAGAAAGGAGGGGGAAATGTGTCACGAAGATGAGGAAAGGGAGGTGGGGGGATATCCTTTGATCAAGAGCACTCCTCGTAGCACTGCTGTCTCCTTACACATCCATAATATATTTCTGCACACACTCCTGTCTCTTATTAACAAGCCAGCGCCATACCATCCTGAAGGCAGGTATGGAATGCTCAGGAAATTCATTCACTTCAAAACAAGAGTAAAAAAACAAAACAAAATGCACTGCAAAGAATTTGAAACATAATATATGCACCCCCCCCTTTAAATTAAATTCATTGATGTTGGTTGAAACAAAAGAGGGTATAATATCAAACATGAGTAAATATCTATTCTAAAAGTGGCAGGCTTATGAAATGAGAGGGCTGCCGCTGCTCGGCTCTTCTCTCGCGGGAGACCATGTTTGTCCATGACAGTCATAAATATGTATCATGCAGCAAGATGACAGCGATTGTAATCTGGTGGCCGCCTTTTGTCGAGCATATGAAACCCGAGAAAAGCTCCCATCGGCGGCGAACACAGGCAAAATTAAAAATTCCATCATTGGAATGAGTCACTCAGCGACAAGTGGCACACTGTTTAATTAGGGTGGAAACAAAGACCTCAGGGGGAGGAGGCAGCGGCGGTGGGGTAATGCCCCCCCCCCCGTCTCATTTGTAGAAAAGTAAATATTCAGAGGGTCGCTTTTCAGCCGTGGCGATTTAAGCATGCCCGAGCATAGCAAAAGAGAATGTGTTATGAATGCAAAGCTCCTAATTCAATTCACTCCGCGCTGCGAAATGAAACTCAACTTGGCCGAGTAGACAGCTGTGGCAGTGCCTCCTTAACCAGGGGTGTCAAGTAGTTCTCCAAGCCCAGAGTAACTGCTCTGGGCTTCCAGTAGTGCCCCTGCAGCCTCTTAAAAACGGCAGCCTGTCATACAGGATTCACTCCAGTGTACAGTAGCAGCGAGTGTCCTGGAGTGCAGCTGGTTGAAAGGTTCACTCTTCAATGTAAGAACTCCTCTGTTTCTGACCGAGTGTGGTTTTGATGTGTGTCCCTGCAGCTCTGAAAGACCCCTGCACTGAAGTGACCTGCAGCTACGGCAGCACCTGTGTCCAGTCAACAGACGGGCTGTCGGCTAAATGCATGTGTCCGCTCGGCTGCGAGGGCAAGCCCGAGGAGACGGTGTGTGGCAGCGATGGAAAGGACTACCGCAACGAGTGTGAGCTCCATCAGCACGCCTGCAAGAGCCAGAAGAACATACGTGTGCAATACCAAAGGCCCTGTGGTGAGATATCTCTCTCTCTAGTGTCCATCCATCTACATGTATTAGCTTTACCACTTATATAGACATTGGGCAAGATGGGGTCCACCAGGTCGCCAGCCCTTTGCGGGGCCATCATATACCTCTTTTACACCAAAATTAGCGGGTGTACATGTTTTTTTAAATGTGGTTATATACCCACAAAACAAAGGCGAATGACTCCTTTCCCTTTGCCAGTAAGGGAGTTTACCTTTCTGTTTTTTTCCCCCGGTGAGTAATGTTTGATGTCACAAATCCGTCGGAAGCCTAGATATCTTGTCAGTGTTGTATCTTGCATGATAAGAAGAGAAAATCACTGGCGCACATGGTTCCCTAGATGTAAAAGAACGATAAGTACATTATAGTTTGTGGCTACTTATGCACCAACGCCTGGAAGTTCAGTGAGCGAAAATCTTCAGTGTCAGCATCCAGAAGGCCAAAAAAAAAGAAGAGGGAGAAGAGTCACACTTCCATTACTTTCAATCATAGACTGAGCTGCTTGAAAACCTGACTCATTTGACCTGGGAGTGAATGACAATTTTATCATTCCATTGCAGACAAAAGCCAGAAGTTAGTGAGTGTTAGTAGATTTTTTTGGCCAGCGTAAAAACACAGAGACACACGACCATTCACACCTACGGTCAATTTGAACTGTGGACGGATACAGTATAGTAAAGACAGAAACCAACCGTCTAGCTGTGAATTATTTTTTATCATCGATCTGTAATTGAGTCTCATTATTTGTCCAGTATAAGTGAAAAGTGCAGCTCCTGATCTCTCACAGCCCCAAATGCCCTCTTTTAGTGTGTCTGATGTTAACTTTGCAATGATACAAGGTAAAAGCAGAAAACCTTTAATGATTTTTCTTCTTCCTGTACTTTCTCCCTTTGTCTCTTTGCTTTTCTCCTCTTCACTGTTTACTACCTCTGACTTTTATTGTTTCTCCCTCACATACTCCACTTACTGACGACACGCCTCTGCTAATTCTCATCTATCATTCAGGCTGCCTTGCTCCATACAGGTGTGAATTGTTGTTTTCTCCAAGTGGGTGTTCAGTGCTGGCATTTTCAGTCGGGCCCACCTTTTTTGCACATCCTTGTTATCATCAGCCGATGGTTGTTTACTCCCAAGGCACTCAACTTAAGAGGTTTTTCTTCTTGTGGTGAGCCAGGTGGGGGAGAACGAACGTCAGACACAAACTGTCTCTTAGCAGCAGGAGCCTCTGGGAGACAGAGCGGGTTGGTGGGCGATGAGTGATGGATGTGCAGGTCTGCTGGCAGGATGTTGGTACTATAAATCCAGCTGGAGTCGGCCAAAGTGACCCAAGTGGCCCCCGTCTTCCCTGGGGAGGGTCGGAGCTCAAGGGACCAGCCGGTCCTGATGGGCCTCTAAATCTTCCTACAGGCATTTCATCTAAAGCCTTGGCTATTTCGAGTTGGTGGCTCCAGCCAGACACATGCAGTTGATTTATCCGCGCTGCTAGTTTTTGTAGCAAACAGGCCATTCTTTTTGTAATTACCCTACTTGCTCAGCGAGAGGAAAGCACGGATCCTGTTCTTCTCAGTTAATGGGAGGTAATGGTCTTTCTCACAGATAATGGTCCGGTTGGCGGGTGAGGCACAGCCTCACGCAGACACACTGCATGCATTACGATAAAACTCCTGCTTGCTTGGTTACTCGTCTGCTTTGTATTCTGCTGATGGAGAACAGTCCGGGCCTGGCTTGGCTCGCCTTGGTCACTCCGGCTCCCCACCCTCAACAGCCAAGCACCTCAGTCCCATTTCATGTCCCCACATAGTCACTCTTTGTACGTCTTCCAGAGGTCTTTGGAAGCCATTTCTCCATATTCTCTCTTTCTTTCTTCTCCCTTCCCAATTATACCGTGTTTCATCCTCGGTGAAATTTGAATGACGCCCTGGCAGTTTGGCAGTGATTTAATATGTCGTGATGCTACATAAATCCTTTGCCTTCCCACACGCTGTATTCATGGCAAGGAGGATAAAGCCCAGGTCTCTGTTTCACGGAGTAACATCCCCGTCCTGCACATCCACAAACCAATTCCATTATGATCAGGGGCTGATATGGCCGAACGTGCCAGACCCATGCTCCCTTGAAAGGAGAGGGGTGCCAGGGAGCAAATCAAACCGACAGTCTCTTCATCCATTTCCTTGTCTTCCCCTTTCACATCCAACGTTCCACTGTGAGCTGCTCTCAGCTGCGAGCAGAGCTGATGATATCTCTGGAGCAGCAGTGATGGAGGGTCATGTCTCATCTTCTCCTCATCCCCTTCTTACTCTCCTCTCTTCTCTTCTCTTCTTATCTACTCTCTGAATTAACATGACTTATATTGTTATTGCCTTCAGCCTATATTCAGATGATTTGTCTTGAAAATCATATTATTGTTGTTTACTAGAACTTACAATCTATGGAACAGGGTCTTTACTTAACAGTTGTTGGATTTTGAAGTAATTAAGCCAGGACAAATATTGATGTTTTTGATGAAAGCCTTCATTAATATAACCAATATTTTCCAGATCAACCTGAACTGCATATTGTGCAAATATATACTGCTGCACATCCTCATGAATACCTGTGTCTCCGCAGACCCATGCAAAGACAGCGAGAACAGTCTGAGCACGATATGCAGAGTGATGACTAAAAGCCGTGAGACCTTGACCTTTGGCCTGCCGGAGTCGTGCCCACCGGAAAGAGAGCCTCTGTGCGCCAGCGACGGTGAAACCTACCCCAGCGAGTGCGCCATGACGGCAAGGGGCATGCAGAAAGGCATCCAGCTCAGGAAGATCTACGCAGGACGGTGCAGGAGGCTGGGTAAGGACAGATTTTGTGGTTCTTTAAATGCAAAAATATAAGCTGCTTAAAAACGACAGTGGATGTTTTAGTGTGCAGCAATTAAGATTCAGATCCAGGAAATCTTGGACATTCTTTTGATATAGCAGACCTAAAAGAGCTAAATTATACTGGGAACATTCATTATTCCAATAAAGGGTTTTGATCATTTTTATGATTTGGTGTTGTTGCAGATCCGACCTATCGTCCTCTTATTATCAACCTGATAAATGAGGAGACAAATGATATGACAACATATCTGTGTTTGTATACGACAAGTATTCAGAGCGGTTTTGAAGGATTGAGCTAAATGTTCTGGCTAACAATCAACAACTAGTAATGAAAACACAATCATGAACCATCTGCACCACACTATGATACATGTTATCATTTTACATATTGCACATGATTTCTGCCCTAGATTTGAGCAGGCACAGTGGAACTGGAATTAAAATCTGACTGTGGTACTGTGATAAATGACTCTCAGGTCTTAGGATCTGTACTGTATCCATGCCAGCAGTAGCCTCCTTCAGTCTGATAAGAGCCTCCAGGGCTGTTATCTGTGCTATTAGAACACGCGCTTTAAGCCTTAGTCAACAAAGGGCTGTCAGCTTTTACTGTATGTCTGATAGCCATCGGAGGAAATCCAATTTTGCCGTTGTGTTGTCGACGGGGCTTCGTGAAGCAGCAACTGTGCTGGTTAATAGCAGTGATGTGCAGAGACCCCCCGTCCATGTAGGGAGACCTCTGACAACGGCAAAGACAAGAATAGATCACTTCTGGACACACTTCCATTCAGTGGACAGTGAGGGCTGATACACACTTCTTTCACACAGCCCGGGTCTTCTTCCCGCTCTGCTTGACAGACTGATGGAGTGTGTGGGTTTTAAATTGCACAGACCCCAGCCTAAGTAGAATTGTGAGTTTGTGTTTTCATGTCAGTTTGTGTGTTGGGATGTGTGCGTTTGTGAGCAAGTGGATTAAGGTCTTTTTCTTTTCTCTCCTCGCCACCCTTACAGCTCTGCCTTTTTCAAATGAAAGAATAATTCAATTTGAAACAGAGATCCATGAAATCGTACCCCTAAGCAAATTACAAATTGGTAACTAATGAAAATGGCCATTTCGACTTGTAACCATGACATCGCACATCCTTGTAGCCCTCTCACTCAGATACAGCAGCGATGTAATTAAGTGCGGCATGACGGTTTTTTAAAGAAAAGAAGAAGAAGAAGCAATTGAATTGCTGTACAAATTCGATCCACTGATCAGGAATGAAATAAATTCGAAGCCTGGTGAGCGCCTCCAGAACAGAGGCCTGCTTCAAATTGGATTTTCTCACTTCAATGCCAAATTTTCCATTTTACATTAGCAGTGTTTCTTTCTTTCTTCTTAATTTATACCGCAGATTTCTGCTTAGTGAGTCAAAATGTAATGAATCAAATAGTTTAGACTTTAACTTGACCCCGAAATTAATTTTCTCAAGCTCCCCAAATGTATTAAAGTTATGCAGGAACTTTATTATTAAAGTTAGATGGGAGTGTGGAAAACCTGATCTCCAGTAAGTTGTCATAAGTTACATCACCAAAGAGCATGAAATTACTTTATTAAGTGTCACCTTCACAGTGTGTTTGGGGTTTTGCTTGTTTGTTTTTTTTGTCATGAATAATACTGTAATAAAACTAATGACAAAACTAGATTAGCACTCTGACAATCATCTTTTCATCAAGATCTATAAATTAATCCCTTTTGATGATTTTGTAAAACGCAACGTGAAAGTGCTTAAACATTCCTGGATCCGCAGTTTAAGTAAATGGAGTCTTTCCTGGCCCATAATGCTTCCTGCCACCAAGTTTCAAAGTAATTTGTCTAGTAGTTTTTGTCTTGCTTTCTAACAAACAAACAAACCTAACCTATCTGGTGGAGGTAAAAAAAAAAAAAAAGATCCAGTCCACTGTGTTGAGAGAGCAATTATTTTTGATATTTGTTGATGGCTGCAGAGATCTGATAGAATCCTGCAAAAATCATCTTCAAACAAAGTTAATTTTCTTACACTGAAGAAAACAAATTCACTGATTAGTTTTTTCACCTTTTGTGCTTTGAACAAAAAGACAGAAAAACAGAAACCAATAACCAATCTAGTGCTCTTTTGTCTGACCAGTCTCTCATTATGATATTTATTTTCCTTGCTGTGAACAGGCCCTTTGATTCTTCTTTGAATTAGAATTAATTGTAGTAAATGTATATTCAGTTTCAGGTATTTCCACAAAAAGGCTTAACCTCTGCCGCAGAAAAGAAAAGCTTTTACACGCACTGCTGGTGACATCAGTCCAGTCTAACATGTAATTACTGTTTGGATGAAAACAGATTTATTTCCCCATGCTTGGACCAGCAGTGTCACACGGCAGGAACAATCAGCTCTCTGTCGCTACCCTGCTAGCATGAAATGTTGTTTTTTTTATGCTCGCTGGGTACTTCTGTTTTCCTTTCCTCTGGGTTGGATCCCTCACACTGTTACCAAACTGGCAGATGGATGTGGCTCTAAAAAGCCTTATCAGTGTCTGTACAGACGGGAAACAGAAAACAGGAAACAACAGAATAATTCAGTTGCAAAATATTATAATTGCAGATTCTTCCATATCAGGAATGAGGCGTTTCTTAATAGATTTGTAGGTCTGGACAGCCAGGTTATGGTTAAGGGGTAATATAAAATGTACAGATGCTGAATTAACTCATGTTTTTAACCATCAACCATTTCAGAGGAGTGTAAGGAGGAGTGTCTCTTCAACGCTGTGTGCCTCGTTGACCAGCTGAACGCCCGATGCTCCTGCGACCCCATCGAGTGCGACGGCACCTACAAGCCCGTGTGCGGCAAAGACAGCCGCACCTATTCCAACGACTGCATGCGACGCAAGGCAGAGTGTCTGAGCAAGACCCTCATCCCCATCAGGCACCCAGGGCCCTGTGGTGAGTGGCACTGGAGGATGGGAAAGGGGGCTTTACAAACACTAACGTGGTTTCTGTCTGTCTCTGCTTCTATTTAATGTGTACTCAGTGTGTTTTTCCTTCTGTATCACCTCAGCTCACTGTATTTACTGAGAAGTGTCTGAAATGGTTCATAAATGATCTCTGAGGGGGGGGTGGTAACTCAAACAGGCAGGACATGTGTGCCTTCCTCCACTCGTTCACCTCCCATTCATCTCCTCATCCTCGTCACGCTCCACCCCCCCATCTCAAAAACACACCCAAACTGAAACCCCACCTTCATATTTCATCCACCCGCTGTCTGTCTCCGTCTCCTCCTCCAGTCGTCCACTTCGGTGGCTTCTATCTTCTGTTTTTCCCTCCTCTGTCTTTGTCTCTATGTTATGTGTGTGTTGCCTTTCTTGTATAAAAAAAGCTATTCTTTCTTGTTGCAGTGCGTCAGTCAGTCTGTGTGTCTATCTTTGTCCGTGTGGCCGTCTTCCCGGCTGTGTGGCTGCAGGTGAAAAGTGGGGTCACCCCGTGGGCGACCTCAAGCGGACTCTGAGGGGTGAAGCCCTTCCCCTTTCTCCGTGTGGACCTAACAGGAGGGGTCTTGTACCGCTGCCCTTTTTCCTCTCAGTCCTTGTGTGTGTCTCTGTGTCATTAATGTCTTTTCCCTCTGTTGACCCTCCTGCAAAGATGTAAACCGTGAGGTTGGAGAAGTCTTCCTCTCTCCCTGCTCTCTGTGTTTTATTCCCTGTCTAACAAAAAAAAAAAAGCTTCACCTGTTTCTCACTGCCTAAGCACTCCTCTCTCACTCTGCATGCAGTCTTGCACGCCAGCCCCCAACCTCACTTCCCAAAACGGTCCCTCTCTCCATCATCAGGACTGTCTCATAAAAGCTTGTAACTGCTTGATGAATGCACGCAGCTCTTTTTTTTTTACCATTTGTGACCATGGACGCTGCAGAGTTGAAGTTCAACTGTGTTTTGTTAAATCCTTCTGAATGCCATACATTCTATCATTCTAGGATTTCTTTGAACAACTGAATATAACTCAAACACAAAGGTTTGGCCTTAGCCTGCTGAGAAGGTAGACTACTTGCTATTTATCATGCGTATGCAAGATGGCTGCATCGAGTATCCTTTACCCTTTAGGTGCATAGGTTCTGCATATCCTCAGAAAATAATGTGAAGTGTGCACAAGATGCAATACCATCATAAAGGTCTGGGGCAGTAGTGAGTCCTTGACAGGGTCAGTGGGCATGTGAACAAGGGCATCAGCAACAGAAATAGTTTTGAGTTTTGAAGACCAGCTGTGTGATCAGGTCCAGAATTACCCACATTTATATGATGTGTCAATTGCAGATCAGTACAGTTTTATAAATTATCCTAGAAACCTTAAAAATGTAATTGGAAACATGTCAGAGACTGTTACGTCCGTGCATTCTGGAAAATTGTGGAAAGACAAAGCGGGGGTGTGTGCTTTGTCCACCGGTCATTGGATTAGGTTGTGTTCCAGCTACAACCTAAAACGAGAAGTTGATTAGGAAATAAATAAACAGTAGCTTTAACTTTTATCATGAAATAGAGTTATGTCTCCACAAACTGGAAGTCATTGGCGGATGGAGAACTTTTCTAAATCAGGGGCAATAAAATTGCATACATATTTATTTTTTGTATTGCCAGTAAATTCAGTACGTGCCTTTTAAAAGAAAGACTATGGACAAGAGAGAGGCAATTCAGCCCCTGCTGGAGTTCCTTATTCAGCTGTTAGGTTCAGATCAGTGGCATCATGTGCATCATAGTGTAACTGCAGGATCCTAAGCCCTTAAAATTGATGTAAACAAATCAGAAGGATCATTTCATTTGATGGCTTTATATAAACTCTGGCCAGTGGGGAGCGTGTTTACTACGTACAGTAGAAAATTTGGGCAAGTAGCTCCTGGTGTTTATCTTTATTAGCTCCAGCTCATATCATCTGCAGCCAGAGACGTTTGCTGGTTTATCCAGTAAACTGCAACAGTCAGCACTCTCTTCACCTGAGGATATATGGGGCTGTGCTGAAGAACGTAGTTTACATTCAAAACCATTGTTCAGCGTCAAAGAAAGGAGGGAGTCCTTTATGTGACTAGGCAAAGAGGAAGGGGCCCCACGTTTGTTGCTTTTGGCAGAGCAACAATTAATGTTCACTTCGTTTTATCCTTACTTACAATCAATCCTGAACCTTAATCACTTGTTTCAGTTTCCTAAACGACTTGCCAGAACCATTATTGTTCCAAAAGTTTGACCACACAAAAGAAGCCTGTTGCCCTGATGCATTGGAAATTTCTAGTTTCCAATAAAAGAAGAATGCAGAGGGATATGATTCAGCAGCAAATGTTATTAACCCACAACCAAAGCCCAGGCAGCACACACTTAAATAAATGTAAAATGTGAAAAATGATATCATAAAATGGCCATATTGCACTTGGCACTTTTGTTTCCAAATTGTTTCCCAGTGTGAACGGATCGAAAAGTACTCCCAGACAATCAAGGGATGAAGTTTTCTAATATGTACTCACACAAATGAACATTGATTTTTTTCAGTTGAAAATACAATTTTATTGGCTGTTCTTTTAGACCATTTTAGACACTGCTTTGACTTATAACGAAAACCTTTTCCTCAGAGTTTATGCTTCTTGTCGACAGGCAAACAGCGTTTCAAGTTCCTAAAACTGAGATGTTCACAAACACCTTCCAAAGTGTAGATTTTCAAAAACTCTTGGGAAACCGTGACATCACAGCTTACGTTTCACCTGCTCATTGTTGCTCTGTGTAATGAACATGTGCCAGAAACAACAACCATGGCGGCTATCTGACAGGTTTTCTTTGTTTAGCAGTGAAAAGTCTGATTACAAACAATATTGGCAAAAAAATCACATTTTACGTTCTGATTCGCCATGGCACCTTGAGTTCTTGGATAAATGGATGAAACAGATCAAATGGTCAAAAAAAGAAGCTAAAGAAATGATGAGCTACTCTGTTTTAAAATAATGACAGCAAATATTCCTCTCTGGTATTTGATGGCTAGTTGATGTAGACTTGATCGCCACCTACTGGCCCAGAATGTTTGTTTGAGCGTTGGTAGTCTTTTTTTATTCTAGTCTGGGGATATTTTGTAAAACAAGGAAAATGTCTGTTTAAAAAGATTCCCAGTAAGTTTTCTTCCCTGTTAGGTCTGTTAGTAAAAGTGTTTCTTTCTGTTATTTATGTGTATATTTTAAGACATTACATATACAGATGTTTGGAGGTGTTTTTTTTATTTTAATCTTCTTAAATTAATCTCCTTAAGCATTTTTGTTATTTCCCATGAAACCTCTGATAAACCACCGTAAGCCTCTCATGCAGCTTCCTGTAAGAGTACCTCACTTAGCAAATCCACACAGCGGACATGCTGGCAAAATTTTGTCCAGAGTTACTGTCCACATTTTGTATCATTGCTGTGACAGAAGCAAGAGAGATCTGTATGTCCTGCAGACACGGGGACTGAGCTGAACACAAAATGTTTCTCCACTTGTCAGCATCAGGAGGCCCGAGCACACATTAGCATTATTCAGCAGTCAGAGTTGCCCATAATTCTCGCATTGGAAATGACAGTGTGAGCGTTTATGTGTTTTGCTCCGTTTCATTATTTCTAGCAAATAATGTCTGAATCCTCCACCCCCACCTCTCTTCTTCCTCCTCTTTCCCCTCTCTCCTCATCCTTCCTCTCTTCCGTTGCACATCGCAGCCAGCCGTCAGCGACTGGTAGCATGTTTCTTTAATGTGCAGTTTTTTATTGACATTTGCATATTTTTCAAAACAGAGAGCCACAAACACCACCACCCGATTCAGTTTTAATTAAACATCAAAAGAGGCAGGCGTAGGTGCCCACTGAGACTGCTGGTTTAGTCAGACAGATGATGTGCCCT